CACGACAACACCCTTCGTGCATTTATCTCATCCTCTCCAATTATGCGTAAAACAGTACCAACCAAATGGTAGAAATGTCGATAACAGAAATGACAGAGTAAGAAATACGCAAATAGCTACGGAGAACGAGAATGTACATAAGAACATCAGTAACCGACTGAACAGAAAGCATAGAGGTAATAACAATGATTAGGAAAAAAGGGAATGTGACTTCGACTAACTAGCATGGTGAAGGCATGAAGATAGATATGACAAATAAAGAAGCGAACACATGATCTTTATAAGTTAACAAGTAGAGCCAGGAACGACCAGTATGGAAGAAGACCTATACTTAAGTGCAACAAAACAGATGATATGGATGCAATCATAACAGTAGGAAGTAAGCATGATATTGGCAAGTTTAAGCAAATAGAAGGCATGATAATACGACAACAAAGGTGATAGAGGATAAAGACAGAACAGTAACGACATATCACATAAGAACCATGAACACGACAATAACTACTCCAGGTAAAGACATAAAGATATCTGCAAGAAAGGGATTTCACAACATAATGCATGTCTCTTGTCCTCACTTGCACGGAAACACCATTCATGCCATGAACTCACTATAACATGAAAGTTTATTAATAATAATAATAATAGAATGAAATGAAACGGCATCACCCTTCGTGCTTTTACTCACATAACATGGCACTGTATCACCCTTCGTGCTTTACTCTCAATAATATGGCACAGCATCACCCTTCGTGCTTTATACTCTCCCTCACAAGATAATGTATAAACAAAGGCACGGCATCACCCTTCATGCTTTACACTCTTCCTTACCAAGCACATGTATATTAATGACAAACAAGGCAAGAAGCATAAATAGCATCAATGGGAGTGTTTTAACGGATATTCCAAACAAATCCTAATCACAACTTTCCAAGCCAACAATGATTCAATAAATCCTCAAGAACCGTAGTATTCAAATACTTCCACAAATCTCACAAATGATCCACAACATAAGTATAAAGACTAGTATCTCAAGAATATCAGTCGTAGTAATGTAGTAATGATTATGCATATTGATGACCGAATTAAACACACCAATGTATTCTCAGAATTTCCATCAACTTCGATTAAGTTATAATAAGCTAAGTCTTAGTTTCTAACATTTAATACTATGTTCTTAGTATCTAGGAGTCAAGTAAGGCATGAGGCAAGAAGGTCACGTGATTCTACAAGACACAATTTATAATATAATTTACCCCAGAGCATGGTTAACCCTGGCACATGCATATATGCTCGTCACCTCATATATGTATCACCCCCGCATGTAGCAAATAATGTCAAATAGTAGGAAAAGTTTTTCCAACAAAGTTAGGCAAAATATTTACCTCAATTCGGCTAATTCAATACTCAATTTAGCTTTTCCTTTACCAATTCACCTCCGATCGGCTCAATTTAGTCAAAGACGACTTAAACACATCACACAATGCAAGGGAAAACAACTTCAATTAATAAAGCTGTGATTTATTCGATTTCTAAAAAGTCAATAAAAGTCAACTCCCCGAGCCCGCACCTCGAAACCCGATAAAATTTATAAAACCCAAACACCCATTCCAGTACGAATTCAACCATACTAAAATTATCAAGTTCCGATACCAATTTGTCCTTCAAATTATCATTTTGCATTTTTGAAAGATTTTACAATTTTCCCACAAATTTTCCTTTAGATTCTCATGAATTTGATGCTAAATCATATATATAATCATGATACGTAGTTGGGAAATGATTAAAGATACTTACCCAATGATATGGTATGAAAATCCCTTCACAAAATCGCCTCTTATCAGACCTAGGGTTCAAAATGTGATAAAATGAAGCTAAGTCCCGAAATGGGAGTCTTAATACCAGCCTCAGATATCGCATTTGCGACATCAAGATCGTAAATGCGATACTCGCAAATGCGACATAAGTATCGCAAAAGCGAAGGCTGACCAGCTCTGCTCATGTCGCAAATGCGACAGAAGACTCGCAAATGCGAGCTCTTCGCAAAAGGGAACTCCTGCCCAGCAGCCCAGGTTTCGCAAATGCGATGGCTGCTTCGCAATTGCGATTGTCGCATTTGCGACCAATACATCGCAAATGCGATGATACCAGTACCAGCAATCAAAAATTTTGAAGAATCAATCTGAAACTAATCCAAAACTCACCCGAGCCCTCGGGGCTCCAAACCAGTCATGCACCAAGGTCTAGAAATACAACACGAACTTGCTCGCGCTCTCAAATCATCAAACTAACTTCTAAAACTATGAATAGGACGCCAAAACGCATGAAGATCAACTAAATTTCAAGAACTTCTAGAATCGCAACCGAGCATCCGAACCATATCAAATCAACTCCGAATGGCGCCAAATTTTATAGACAAGTTCCATTTAATGAAACGAACCTACTTGAAGCTTCAAATCACGCCTAACAACCTCGAAATGATGAATCACACCTCAAGTCAAAATCAATGAACTTTGAAACTTCAACTTCTACAACCGATGTCAAAACCCCTCAAATCACCTTCGGTTGACCTAAAATTTTGCACACAAGTCACATTTGCCATTACGGACCTATTTCAACTTCCGGAATCGGAATCCGACCCCGATATCAAAAAGTCTACTCCCGATCAAACTTCTCAAAAATCCAACTTTTGCCAATTCAAGACTAATTCGACTATGAACCTCCAAATTACAATTCGGACGCGCTCCTAAATCCAAAATCATCCAATGGAGCTAACGGAACTGACGGAACTCCATTCCAAGGTCAAATGCTAAAAAGTCAAACTTGGTCAACTCTTCCAACTTAGAGCTTAAATCTTGAAGTTCATTCTTCCAAATCGATTTCGGATAACTTGAAAACCGACATCGACGATTTACGCAAGTCATAATACATCATGCGGAGATACTCGAGCTCTCAAAACACCGAGCGAAGTGCAGATATTCAAAATGATCAGTCGGGTCGTTACAAACACAGTAATATCAACAAACAATAAAGCAAAGTATAGGTCACATTAACAAGCTTGAATTCTAAACCCTGAACCAGAAATTTTGGGTTCGATCCCCAGCGGAGTCGCCAGAGATGTCACGCCTCCTTTTCCTGAGGAGATAGGGGAATTGTTCTAATTAAAGTGACATTGATCAAAATGAAATTATTTATTTAATTAGAGTCGCCACTTGGAATAATTTTATGGTGTCCCAAGTTACCGGTTTATTTTAAAATTCCAAATCGAGGAAATTTGACTCTATTCTAAAGTCTGCGAAACTAGAAGACCAGGTAAGGAATTCTGTTAACCCGGGAGAAGGTGTTAGGAATTTTCGGATTCCGTAATTTTAGCACGGTCTCTTTAATCATACCTGGCTTAATTTATTTATTTAATTTCGTAGTTTTAGAACCTGTGTGCGTTTTACCTTTTATCGCTTTTAATTATGGCGTTTATGGATTTATCTTTGAAATGAATCACATGTGTATATCCGTTTTATTTGGGGCGCTAAAATCATGTCACGCGTACGTATACATGATTAATCACGCTTTATTAATTATTAAGATTGTTCGGCCAAAGTCGCGCGAACGCGTACTTTGATTTATTCGTGAAAATCATAATTATGTCACACGAACGTGTACACAATCACGATAATAGATTAGAATGCGCCTAAAGAATTCTACGATATTTATAAGTTAATTATTTTCTAAACTAGTTTGAGATTCGTTGTGAAAGGCCATTGATTATGGATAGAAATGGTATGATTCGGTTATTGAAATTATTAGCAAATTCTATTATCTTACTATTCTAGAATTATTCAATTGATCTACTAATTTATAAGAAATGGGCTAACTTATTCATCTTGGGCCCGATGATTCTGATTTTGGCCCCATTAATTCAAATTAACTATCAAAAGTTCACTGCCTACTAAACTTGTTTCTACGCCAACTAAAACAAACGACAACTCGTCCAATTTAACAAACCTTTCTTAAACACTAGATGAGCCTTGCCCCGTGCATAGCACGGGCCCAACATTTAGAATGCTGATATGATTTAAGGATTGTTTCTAATCTTTAGAGAATCTATTATTTAAACCTTAAATAGGAACACACCCCTTAGAACAACCATGATTTCAAAAACACAAAAACACAAGTTATATCTTTAGTAAATAGTAACAAATATAAAAGACTACCTACTAACCATACAAAATGACAGTCAAAAGGCACTACTTGTTTATGACTTGGTTGCTGAAATATTTTCTGCTAGTAGTAGCTACAATAACTGCATGACTAAGATACCATAGATAAGAACATATAAATAGGTGATTCAACTCCCTCATAAATCTTTGTCCAAATTCTATGCTTTGATTGTTACTTGGTCTTTATAAATGCCTTGCTTGAACTGGTTGATCAGGGTAAGAATGTCCTAACTTTAGGAGATTTTTAAAAATCTGTAGTACGATAAAAACACCAGAAGCCTCCTGCAAAGTAATAACTTTTTTATTAACCGTTTAATTTAAAGTCCATTACTTAAGAAAAACTGACAAAGAAGTAATGCATTAATCATCCATCAGCGAAATGGTATGATAGAGATAAAATTTAACCCCTAAATAAATTAAATTTCTTATAATCAAGACACTGGACATGCAGAAATGTAATCATAAAAAAACACATCATTACAACATAACACATCAAGGTTTTGATTGAAATAAAACTAATTTGAAATTAATAATTAAATAAATAGCTTGCAAAAAAGAAAAAATAAAGACAACATACATTATAAAAGAACTCTTTCTACTGGCATGTTAGAATCAATTGAAGCATGTGAATAATTACAACTTATAATGAAATAAATAAAACTAAACACAATATAGGCACACTCAACACTGGCTGTTTCAAGAAAGATAAACATAAATATATAAGGAACAGTCTGTTGAGAGATCGAATGAATTAAAAGAGGTATCAAGATATATAGTTCATTTTCATTACCAATTTAAGTGTTGGAGGAGAGGCTTTAGTCATCTGTAACATGGCAAGTGAATTTTGCTCTTAGTTCTGCTGGGTAGTTTAACCTGCCAAAAAAGAAAAACGTCAAAAGTAGTCACACAGCAACACGCTCATAGTACATTATATATGTTAAAAGATAGAATATATATATAAATATAATTGCACATTCCATTTACAAATACACATCTTATCATCCTCGAGTGTTTCATGTATTGAACTAAAAGTAGAACAAACCAAACTATCAAGCACTAACTAAGTGGCCAAGTGAATTAGTCTCTACCAAATATGTAAAGATGGTAAATCAATCCACCATTTGTACTTTCAGATAAAACATATACATGAAATACAAACATAAAGTATATTCCAAGAAAATTATATGAAAAACTGTTAGGTGAAGAACAATAAGAAAGAATAGGAAAAGATAGCATGTGTTGATTCAATATCTAGCTACATGGAACTCTATTTCACGACATGAATATATAGGTAATAATACCAACATTGATGTTCCTAAAACGGACATCCACGCCAATCATATGTTAAAATGATAATAATACATGAACAACCATATTCTTGATGAAGAGCTTATGAGCTATAAACCAGATTAACATTTGGGTATAATTTTTTATTCTTTAGCAAATTGGAGTAAATTGATAACAAAACAAAGATGACCAATCTAATCAAGACAAAGAGCCTAGCCTGAATTATGTTATAACCTTCATCACTTGGAATGAAAATGAATGCTCCATTCACACTCTGTGAAGTACAGAGTTGTGAATATAGTTCATAGAACTATTCCAAACTAAGCAATGGACAAGTTTAATTGCCATTGATAGACGAATATCTAAAGAGCTTTAAAATTGGCCAAAAAAGTTAAGATCAATCAAATATAGCAATACAATATACTTGACTGATTATTAATAAAAAAGAAAAGGAGATCATTATCAAAAGGCCCATTGGCATCTTTCTAATTTTCTTCTTTTGGCGGGTGGGAGGAGAAATTACAAATAAAAGTGAAGCTTGACTTTTGCTTCAAAGAATCAAAGAGCAGTCTCAATAAGTAAAAAATGGTGACAAAAATTTCTTTCCAAAAATGAACACTTCTCGCATGAACTTGTGAGTCCATTAAAAATATTTAATTATTGAAATTTTACATAGTAGAAGTTTTATAAAGTTCATTATGGAGATTTGTTGTTAATATTAAGAGGCTATTTGTGTCACCACTCCTTTCCTTTTCCTCAAATGGATACTTAAGAATCTTTAAAGTTTCTGCAAAGGGAGAAATAGAAAAGAATACGAAAGGAGAAAAATATCAAATGATTATTTTTGTACTTGTCTCTAAAATAAGGCAGTTGAATAATGACGATCAGAGAGGATGTGTTTTTAAGTTCAACACATTTAACACAATTCGAATTCTTTTTTCTGTTTTCAGTAGTCATTAGTCTTGTAAAAGACATAATAGAGTAAAATAGTAGAACTATTAATTTTCAAAGGAAGTGAATTTTCAGCCAAATAAAACTTTTATAATTTAATAGGCATTATATGAGCAGTAAAAGGAAAAGTTCTTTATCTAGAATTATTCATTTTTATACAAAGATTTTAATATTCAGCTAAGTTTGATCGCTGTCAATCATATGATCTTACTGAAAAAATATGGAGAAGCAATTACCTGATGTGAGCATATTTCTCTATCAAGGGATAAATCACATCATTCGGTTAGCAATGCTCTGTTAAATTTAACATATTTATAAAAAATCAGTTAAATAAGTGACTAATTCAAATTACAATAAAAAAATACTCTATTTACTATATCTTAAATTCTTCCACCACTAAGAGAAATAAAATACAATGCAAATTAACATAGGATTATATAGATAATAGATTGCAGAATATCTTTCAAAACTCCACATAATTAGTCAAGTGGATCTTCCTAGTATGTACAATGTTGTCTTATACATAACCAAAGATACATTAGTTAACCCAACACATGTTCTATCGCTGGAAACCAAAAAGGAAACCAGAAGATATCGTTTAGTTTAGTAATTGTCTATAAATTTTAAAACACGTATTCATTAATTGAAAACCATTAGATCATCGAAATTCTCCCGTGGATCAGTGATCGATGATCTAGTTCAATTAATAAAGTGTGTTATTCTAAAAGAATGTGTTTAGAACAATATTTAGAAAGAAATGACATGATCTTCACTACAAAGCTAAACCATCGGAATTCGGTAAAAGAAAATTAGAACCAAAATTCAATAATTTTCTAATTAATTTTTATCCCTAGGTTTTCTGAAGAACAAATAAAAAAGGGAGCAAGACATGCGCATCCCCTGAATAAGCAGAAGCGTGAAAAAAAATATACAAAAAAAAAGAAGATAATATCCCTGACCATGAGATCTCATCTCTGTACAAAATCAACATGTATAATTTTATCCCTAAGAATTGAGTGAAAATATAGGATCAATACAATTTTAACTTTCTCGAATTTGTACACTGTGTCACATATATGATCATATTGAGAAAATTAGAGCAAAACAACCCCAATTATCTCCCATAAAGCGCTCATGACAAAGACAATGAAGAAGCATGTGAACTAAAAATGAAAAATACTCTAAAAATATATTACCTCTCTATAATCAATCATAATGCTTGTTCCGAGAGATTCAACCTTTAAGAGCAGCACATACATGGTAAAAGACCACCATTATCGCCGGCAAATAACTCAAAGTTTTACCCTAAATTCGTATACCTCATACCAACTCTCTAATTACAAAAAATAAATCAGATAAGAAAATAAAGCCCTAATAGAAATTAATAAAAAAAAGAACAAGATTTGGGCAAAAATTTAGAGAGGAACAGACCTGAAAGTTGCAACACCCAACTGCGAAGATGAAGAGAATGAAAAAAAATATTATTTGAGAGGACAAATTAAGAATCCGAGAAAACCAACATTTCTTGTTGTGGCTTGAAAGAATCTGCATTTAGAATTGTGTTGAGTTGTTAATTGAAATTACAGTTATGTCATTGGTCGACCACACTTGGCTTTTCTATATAATAGAAATTATAAAATGGTCTAAGCACTCAAGTACTCCAATTGCCAATTAACCCAGAAACCAACTCAATGACTATAGACCTACGATCTTCTCCTTAGGAAACAGAAGGAACTAAAATGAACTATTAAACTAAAATGATATAGCTAAACAACTAATCAGAAGCAAACGAATATAGTATTCAACTAAATAATCGTAAAAGAAAGATCGAGAATGAACTATTAAACTAACTCGATGGCTAAACAGGCTAGGTCTACAAAATCATACTCAAACATTGGACGAACAATTCAGATTTTTCATTTATGAATTCAAAAACATCTCATGGATGAGTGTAACATACATAATAGCAGGGAAATCGGGGAAAAACAAACCAGATAAAGTCTGGAATTAAACGTGGAACTCAGCAGCGCAGGAACAACATACTTGACTTTAATTTCAGATTAAAACCAACTCAAAATCCAGTGAAATGACCGAGAAAGCTGTTGAGGTTTTTTGTTTTTAAGATGAAATAGTCTTAAAATGATGGTGAATGAGAAATGGAGGGAAAATAAAATTTTTGAGTAAAATTTTAAGTTTCCCCCTCTTGACAATGAGACATTGTCCCATATTGGAAGAGGAAAAGATTTTTGGTGGGTATATATATATTTGCTCTTCTTGTAGCTCTTAAAGAGTTAAGAAGAAAGCAAGCCTCGCGTCGTCATCGTCGCTCGCTCGGCTTCGGCTTCGGAAAGGAAGAAAGGAAGGAAGGAAGGAAGGACGGAAGCCCAACTTGAATTATTTTAAAGTGTGGGGGTGTTTGGCAAAAGTGCAAATTCCTAAACCCAAAAGGGTAAAGATAGGACCGAAAATCGTTGATTGTATTTTCATAGGATATGCGACAAATAGTAAAGCATATCGATTTCTGGTTTGAAGTTCATAGGATATCGATTTCTGGTTTAAAAACGTTTATTAAATATTTGTTTGTGTCATTCTTTTACAGAAAAAATGACGACTGAAAGCGAAAACTAAGCTGTTCCGATGGTGACTACCAACGCATCGACAAGCCGAACACCGGCGTTGGCACCGGCAGAAAAACTCGAAAAAATTTTCCGGATTGATTTCAAGCGCTGGCAGCAGAAGATGTTCTTCTACTTAACTACGTTATGTCTACAGAAGTTCATCAAATAAGATGTTCATGATCTGCCAGATAAAACTCCAGAGAATGAACGCTTTATCGTGATTGAAGCGTGGAAGCATTCTGATTTTTTATGCAAGAATTATATTCTTAGCGGACTGGATGATAATCTGTATAATGTATACAGTGGCGTGGAGACGTCAAAAGAATTGTGGAATGCGCTTGAAAAGAAATATAAAACTGAAGATGCCGGGATGAAGAAATTCGTTGCCGCAAAATTTTTGGACTACAAAATGGTAGATAGCAAGTCTGTTATTACCCAAGTCCAGGAATTGCAAGTGATTATTCATGATCTACTTGCTGAAGGTCTTGTCATCAATGAAACATTCCAA